CTAGAATGGGATGGGGTTTGCTCTCTGTTTATATACTGTGGCATCCCTGCCAGTGTTGGTAGGGGTGGGGGTTTTGTTTTGTTTTATTTTTTCCCCTCTGGTTGTTCCTTGATTAAGGTATTGTTCACTGCTTGATTGTGTGCCCTGTGGTAACCTCTGCTTATCTGGGTGATGATAACTGGTGAAGCGATGTTCTAGTCTTTTGTTTTCTTTTCTATTGTCTCTTTTGAATAGAGTGTAGATGCTGTTTATCTCTATGTGTCTATTGATTCCTGCCTTGACTGAATACCAAACTTCCAAGAATTCCCTTGCATTTTTGGATTTAGCTTGGTCTAAGGAACTACCAGAGGAACAAAACAAAACCCCCACCCCCCACCAACACTAGCACTGAAGATGTTACCTAGCCTGGTAATGAAACATTTGCAAGAAAAGAACCAAGCTCAAAGAACCCCAAGGACTCCACAGTTCAACCCAGAGCTAGACATATTTGCCTCTGTTGATAGATATTTGTTGTTCCTCCTCTTTCCTATGAATGAATAACAACTGCAATGTAGCAGCAAGAAGAGAGGAGCATATAGTAACAGACTGAGGTCAACACATCCTGTGTTTTGTTACCATAAGAATGAGTTGGTGCAAACCTCAGACTTACATGTTGCTCTTTTCTTCTTGTAAAGGGGAGGGAGATTCAAATCTTCTGTATAATTTGACAGTGAAATGACCTCAAGTTTGTGCATTTTTGCTGTACTTGACCTGGTCTCTTCTGCTCCAATCTGGTGTCCACCAGATTTATTGGGTTACAATTCCAAAAATTCATAGCTATCATGGACAACAGTCAAACTAGAGTCCACTGGATGTGGGTAGCCATTAAATTTAAATAAACAGTCATTCTACATCAGAATTCTGGGAACTTTAGTCTACTCCTCTGGAGAATAGGTTGGGAAAGGCTACTTATATACTGAATTGTTCATTAATTTTTTTAAAAAATGAAGGCATACTTTTCCTGAAATGCAGTTTGAGTTGCTATGGAAAAAATGTATCTTTTGTATGAATTTTGGAAAACTACTGAAACTGGGTTCCCATTACCTAGATCCTTTTTGCAAATTTGGTGCCTGAAATAGCAGATATTGTTGGAAGTAGAAGGCTCTACACGGGTTCCTATGTATTTGTGAAAGGCAGAAAGTAAGTAATTTTTATGTCATCCTCATTGCATTTTTATAGTTCTAAATATGGACATTTACTGCAAATGGCATTACTGGATTATATCTCTGTTGCTAGGATAGATTGAGTTTGTTCACACAATATACTTAATCAAATCAATTTAAGACCTATCATGTTTAGCTTGGTTATTGTTAGATATGGTTGGTGCTTTTGTGTTAACATTGTTGTTTGGGTTGTTTAATGTATTGTACAAACTGAGAAAATAGTTTAATACAGTAATCAGGTTACATAAATTAACTAATTTATTAGATATATATCCCACTTTTTATTTTGGAGCTCAAACTAATAAGCATCATATACCCTCCTCCTATTTTTTCCCCATAACAATAGCCCTGTGAGGTAGGTTGTGTTGAGACAAAGATAGATAGTCATTCAGTGAGTGGAGGGTGGACTTGAACATGGGTTTCAACACTTTAACAATTGTACCACACTGGCTCAAAGTGTACCGTATAAAGACAGCAGAATGTGTCAGTCCAGTGTCAAAGTCAAACTTAGTGAGGCCAAAGTGGGAAAGCTGTTTTATAAATAAATGCATGAATATCTATTACATATGACTTCCAAACTGGAAAAAAAATGACTTTATAGAGACAATTATTTTGCAGTAAAGCAGTATAAAAAGGTAAAGGTTTGAGTAAGTCAAGCTTGATTCCTGGAAATTACATTGAGGAGAAATGTGTTCCTTCTGGACAAAGATGGTGATAGATAGACAGACAGACAGACACACACACACACACACACAAACGCACACACACACACGGATCTATCTATCTATCTATCTATCTATCTATCTATCTATCTATCTATCTATCTATCAATCAATCAAACATCCCTGTTAGAAAAGAAGGAAAATAAATGATTTAAGAAAGGTGTACACTGAAATGATTGCACATTTTAAGGACTTTTTGATTTCATTTTGTTTTTGAAGATTGCAAAGCTAAGGAAGAAAGCATAACCAGGCTTGACACGTTCATCTATCCCTGAAATGGGGATTATCCAGTTTGGGCTGGAATTCCAGTGTTAATCATTGCATTGTTATGCATTGAAAAAAGGAGGATCTTTATCTTCTTCTTCTTCCCTAGCACATACTTTACAAGTATCAACCCTTCTTGAGAACAGATCTTTTTCTTCCCAACATATATTGCCTGCATCATAAGCACGGGATGTTCAAGAATCACATCCCAACCCTAGACTGTAGGAATAAATGTCAGATACCATTCTCACACCTCTGTCATTGATGATAGGCATGTTATGCCACACTTCATGGGCAGGATTAGCATATCACCATTCTACTGAACGTTTTCTTCTGAATATTGCCATCATGGGAAACCATCTCACCTAATTGGTCCTGTTTCTTAGTTTTTCTTAAAGGCCCACCTGCTGAAAATGTAAACCACTTTTAAAAACTTTTTTGTTAAATGTGGCTTTACCTGCCTGAAAAAGTACAACCACTTTAAAAAGAAATGCCAGAAGACCATAGCCAAAGAAAAATGAAGAGTCGGTATCAGATATTCATATGTACCTTTATATGAGGGCACTTTCTCTGATTCACTGAGTGCACTTTAATGCACTTCTCATTGTCACCTTGCTATTTTGTTGCTTATTTTTATTTCTATACCATGTTTCCTCCCAGAGTAGTTTAGAAAACAAGAAAAAAAAAAACATTGTTAAATAAAATCCACTGTCTTCTAAGTGAGATGCCAATCATCATCTTGGTTCTTGAAAACAAGACAGTGAGCTGTGAATGTGTCTTCTTTCTGTAGGTTTATTGTTGTTTGTGGCAATATCACTCTGACTAGTGTAACTGCTTTCTTAAGTGACTTCCTAGCTCAGGACAGAGGAGAAATTGCAACTGAGATTATCTTTCTAGGAGAGTAAGTATTACAGTACTATTACTCTAAGCCCTATAGCCCATTCCTTCTCCAAACCAGGAAAATCTGACAAAAATGCAGTGGATAATTCTACTGTGCAGAATTTTTTTTAAAAAAAATCTGCATTTCTTCATGTCTTCCTACTGTTCTCATTCTATTTGACAAAAGATACTTTGGTTTAAAAATGAAGGAGATACTTTTGGCAAAAGCCTCATGTGCAGAGGGCCACCTAGTTCTAAGGTGGCCAATGGGTGTCTGTGAAGGTCTTGTCTTTCCCTCTACAGCCTTCTTTCCAGTAATCTGTATTACCCTCCCTGGCTTCCTATACTTCAGTTAAATCCAAAGGGAAGACATCAGGAGGGAACCCATCCTATTTGGGCTCTTCCAGACTGGGATGTTTGAACTGAAATAAATGCAGGAATATTTTCCCCCTGAATGGCATAGTTTAAATGCTTTGTCCTTCCTAGGATGTCTTCAAGCATGTGTGAGAGGGTTGGGAAATCATAACAGGTAGTTCTCCCTCCATGATGATTTGCCCCTTCCCAAGGTAAGCCTCTGAGCTGATTAGGTCTCACCTTCATAGGAAGGAGCCTTACACATTTGTGTCAGTACACACAAACAGACAGTTGTCAAACATGCAGCCAACCAAGCCATAGAACATTCTATTGTTATGTTGTTTCTATGTTCACTGCCGTTTAATAGGATTTACTCCTAGGTCAGCGTGCTTTTGGATAGCAGCATTGAATAGGGTTAGACCACGACTGCTGCAGTGCATCTTTAGGCTGCATGACTCAAGTAGTACTTCTTTCAACAAGTTTGCAAAGTCTGTAACACCCATATGTAGGTATATGGAAGGGTAATTGTTTTCTCAAGAATTGATAGTTGCCTTTATTCTCTCTCCAAATATTTTTCTTATCTAGAAATCCCCCTTCCCTGGAACTGGAAACTGTATTCAAATGTTACGCTGCGTATACCACTTTCTTCCAAGGTTCTATCATGAATAGTAAGGATCTTCTGAGAGTTAATGTAAGGACAGCATTTGATGGAACATTACACCCTTGTGTAGACAGAATGGGATAGATGGTGGTATGTCAGGCATAGATGTCGAAGGAGGATATGGTGTGTCATAAGGCCTGTCCTGTGACCCCCTAAACTGGACTCTGCAATGAAATGCTGGAGAAGATCATTCTTCCACTACCAGCATTAAAGAAACATTGTTCTTATTGCTGCATTAAGCACTTGCACATGGAATGTCCGTACCTGTCATTTTATTCTTCACTAAACATATTTGACTGGTGCAAATCAGGCACAATAGTTGTCAATGGAGACTAAATTGCAAAGTCAATGATAACGTTCTGTTGGCTGTTTCTTAACACAGTAACCAAAAGCGGCTTACTATGTAACGATGACTTATAAACTGTAATTTATGGTGTGCAGCTTTGGGGTGGGGGGAGGGCGGGTGCAGATCACATTTAGCCTTTGAGGGTGTGCTCCAAATTGTAGTGTGAAGAATGGGTAGGGACACAACAGACTAAATTTGATGTAATTTAAATGAAATTAAAATTAAACTGGTTAAATGAATATGATTACTTTCCCTGCATTTAAGAATTTGCCCCTGCTGTGAAATTACAAATGAAAATTCAGTTTTGGCAATTTCTTAGTCCACTGTGGCCTCTTCAACCAATAACTGTTAAGCAGATCATGCTTTAGAGTTCTGTATGAACCATGTCAATGTGTTAGATGAGGGATTATCAAGTATATTTTTGCAATATTTAGGATAGAGTTACAGCTGGGCTAAATAATCTTTTGAAATTCTCCACCAAATTTGTAGGAGAGAAAAAGAGTGGCTGGACAGGGAGAATTCCCTCCTAATATCTTCCCTTTGGATTTAATAGAAGTATCAGAAGCCAGGGAATTTGCAAGTTGACATGACATGGTTGCACAAAGAAGAGCAGGACATTCACACACACACTTCTGGCCACCTTGCAATTAAAATAAGTTGAAGAATACCATAAAAATTCATAATTGGAAAGAATTATTTTTCAGAAAATTAAATGAAAACTACCCTCCCCCCCCCAAAAAAAGATAAAGGAGAATATATCTGCCTGGCATTAGATGCAATCCTATTCTGTTTTCTTGGAAAATACAATCTATGTAGTTTAATTAATATTGCTGTTTATTGTATAGGCATCATATTCCAATATTTTCTCCTCTCTCCTTGGAATATAGATGGGTAGTGCTGAAGCGTGCCTCATTTTAGCTGATATATGTTCTGTCCATCCTTATATGGAGGATACCTCCAACATCATGAGGTAAGGCAGGATCTAAAGAGGACCTGTTCTCATTGCTGCTTTTCGTTATTGAATCGGAGATGACCCTCAATGCCCTTTTACCAATTTTTTAAACATTGGAACTGGCAAGGAAGTTTGTCTGGTTCTAGATGATTTCATAACTCTTGTCATGTTATTAATGGCCCTGCAAATGTTGCTCAGCTCTAACTTCCAGTGGTCCTGATTATTAGCCAATACTGGCTGTTGCTACTGGGAGTTGTAGTTAGCAATACCTGGAACTTCACAAGTTCTCCACTTGTACAACCTCCAGATACCTAGATGAATATATATGGAGGTCAACTGTTTGGAGCCCCTCGTTAGGAGAAATAGGAAATTTCTGCAAAGATAGCAATGCAGGGTTAGCATTTTAGAAATAATTTAAAGAACTTCATTGCATTTGTATAAATAAGAGTATGTGTGTGACAGAGAATGTGAGTGAGAGTGCATACAAACCATGAAGAGATATGTCTGAGTAACTGAAAAAGGAAGTAAAAAAAAGTTGTGATAATTTTATATTGTTAGAAATGATTTTTTTTCTTCTGGGATCCAGAACAAACTGTGTTGCATGATGCTTTCACTCATGAACATGCTGGTTTTCTAGTTGTTTCCCTCCTCCCCTAATCAATAAATATGGGGAGGCATTCCATGATATAAGGTCTACTTGCAATCTTAAGTGGCACAATTTAAAGATAGGCTCAACACTTCCATGGAAACTAGGGCTCAATTGTCTGTGAAAGATGGATGCCTCTCCATAGCTAATCCAATCTGAAGTTTCTGATGTTGCTCTTCATCACTTAGGCTGGTGGCAAATTTATTCTCATGGTTCACTTAGTGTAGCTAATATTATTGACTCTTAATACTCTGACAACCCCCCTCCCCACAATGTACACTGACAACAGCTTTATTTTTCATGCAGGGTGCTGTCTATCAAGAATCATTTTCCAAATACCAGAGTTATAATACAAATCATCCAGTCTTCTAATAAGGTTGGGTTTTTCCCCTCCTTCCCTCCCTCCCTCCCTCCCTCCCCTTCTCCCTTTCCTCCTTCCTCTTCTCCTTTTCTCCCTCCTCTTTTTTCTCCTTTTCCTTTCTTTTCCTCTATTTTTTTT